CAATTTTTCATATACTCAGGTAGTCGGTAATTACAAATTCATGAAAATGTCACCAAACAATGAACAAAGATAAATTCAAAAAATTCGGAGAAAAAACTTTCAAATATTCTATGTTAGATGATAGTGAAATATTTAACGAAAAATATAAATATATTTAAATACGATTACGCGATAACATTTTATAGTAATATCATACTACGATATGTAATAGAAGTGTAGGGATTAATCTCCTGAAGTTGATTGTTTTTGTTTCACCATAAAAATAAAAACTATTAAATAACCACAGGATTAAAATTATTATAATAGTTCAGTTTATTAGAATTTTATCATGAAAGTGTTGTTTTAATGAGTTTTAATTATAATAGATTGTATAAGTCATAGAGCAAAAAAATATAATTTATATCTTTTATAACATTTCACTATTAAATATTATACAGAGATTGCAGTAAACTCTATCAGAAATAATAATTGAAAAAAAAGTTTATATTAGAATAATTTTTTACTTTGAACCGCAATAGAATTTATTTTTGCAATATAAATTTTGAAATTGTCCGGAAGTTTCTGAAAGTGAAAAATATAACTACAGTTCTTTTCTTATTAAAATATCATCTCATATTTGTATATCCCAGTCAAATAATTTTTTTAAAGTAAAATTTACCTGTTTTCAACAAAACTTAAGTTAAAAACATATTTTTTTCTTTTCAAGAATAAATGTTATAAAAGATATTTAATTGAAAACAGGCAGTAAAGTTTTCTAAGGAGTTATTATTAACAATTGCATTTTTTTAGTAAGATAGTTCACAAAATAAAAAAATAAAATAAAAACTATATTAGTTTTAAACATGCAACAGTCGAAGAAAAAGTATTTATAACTGTGATTTAATACTGAAATATAATACTACAAAGATAAATTTGCTATCTAATTGAGACGTAATATTGACAGAGTTTAGGCCTACGCAGTAACATAATTGGATAAAAAAAAGTTCAACTTTTTAATTAAATTTACCGGGTATATTAAAATTTAATCTTAGAAACATTAAAAACTAGTTTTTTACTTTATTTACTTATTTTTATCTATTCTAGTAAAAAACAAACAATGGAAAAATTTTCAGAAAGCTACATGCTTACACAAAAAGTCCCGAACTTTGATAGATTTATTCAATGTACTTATTTATTCAAAAGAAATAAATTAATTAAACAAAAACAAAAAAATCAAATGAAAACTTTATGTATGATTCACTTAAAAAAAAAAACATATTATTAAGCAGTTAATTTTTGTCTTTCAACAAAATAAGATTTACCCATAGGTTGCCATCTAAGATGTTAAAAAAAAGCATCAATTACCGAGTCTTAATTATAAGTTATAATACATAACAATAAATTGTTGTGTACATTAAACATTATAAACAATTAGTTTGCAAATCCATTTCTATTTTCTAGTTAGTGTGCATTTTACATACTAATATGCAATACAATAAAATTATATTGTAAAAATCTAATTTTTTACTTTTAATTTGACTTTGTTTTTAACGATATCATATAAATTTTTATTACCAAACTGAAAATGATTGAACTGAAATAAAATATTTAAACTCTTCAAAACAGGTTAAAATAGATTCTAATAATTAATAAATAATTTTAAAAATAATAACATATTAATCGCTATATAATAAGATTTAAAATGTCAAATGCTTTATTCAAGGTTGTTAATTAGTAAGGACTTAGAAAAAGTTGGGTTTTTCTTAAGCATAAATTACTGTAAGACAATGCTACTCTATCCTATGCGAAGAGTTATCATTGAAATAACAATATTAATGACCAAAATTTACGTCAAGTAGAGTAAACAATTTAAAACTTAGTATTTAGACCAATACCATGTTTATATTTCAGTAATCTCTTTGTATTTATTACTTGTAAATCTTAATAAACTCAATGTTTTTCTCTCTCGTAGTATATCGAACTTCAACCATACCGGCTGTTGTCTAGATTTATGAATTTTATTAGTAAAATCGATTCGCTTTTTATTTTGAAACATTTACAATAAATTAAAACGGATCAAAAGCAATTTCTTCCTGTTTATGTTTTAAAAATGAATCCTTTCTTTATAACTAGACAAAAATTTTTAACATGTTTAACCTAGCTATCCTAGATTATATTTATATACTAAATAGGGTCATATTTAATTTCATTATAATTGAGTTCCGACATAGACACGTCATATTATTTTAAATCAGCGCTTATAAAACTAATAACCTAATATATTATGGTTAAATAGAAAAGACAATGTGTCTAAGTATTTCATACCACGGTTTAATAGATAAGTATCTATAATAAATTATTGCATTCCAAGATAGGATAATAATCCTTAAAAGAGATTTTACAATTAAATACAATAGATATACAATTGAATATAGATTTTATTATATTTAGATGATAAATAAAAATCACTTTCATTTTAAAATAATGTTAGCTGCTATAGTTTTTAAATTTAAATTAAGTTCAATATTATTTTTAGTCCACAAAGTTAAATAACTTAAAAATTATATATACCGTCATTGCACCCATTTAAATTTTGATTTGAACATTTCGAGATACATTCACATTTTCAACAAAGACCCTTCATTAAATCCGTTCTAAACATAAGCATAGTTAAGAATATCATAGATATCGATCAATTTGTATGCAAAATAAGGGTCAAAAAATGAATGATAAATGAGTTAATTAATATTGAATCGCTTTTCTGTTCCGATGGTCATGCTCTATATCATATATTATTATACGTTTTGGAAGCAGTGTAAATTATTCACTTTTCTCTTATAATATACATTATAGTATAGTTGTATTTATACAAAGTGAATCATCTGCAAGAGTAGATTTATTTAACTCCGATTTAGTGGCGAAAAATCATATTTTTAGTATACCTTGTAATATTCCTTTGCCACTGAAAAAGACAATATAACTACACTAATTTCAAAAATTAGGTTTTAATAAAATATCTATGTATATCGTAAATTAAATCGATCTGTACAGGTATTTATAATATTTATAATATTTTTTATAACTAAGGTTAAATATTGAAAAAAATACATTATTACCTATCTGAAAATTAAATTATAAAATCATAAAATATCATGCTACAGACAATTTACGAAAATCGTACATTTTTTAGAAAAAAAACACAATTAATAAAATACACGATTACTGCACTCACGATCAAAACTAAAATTGTTTAATAATTTTAGTTTTTACTGAATATCTTGTTATTATACTATCATGACATTATTGTTACATTTTTCAGTAACTATACAGATATAGATAATGATTTCATTATAACGAAACAATTAATAAAACTTCATCCAAACATCTAATTATTAATGATTTGTAAATACATTTTTATTTATTATTTATTTGATTACTAAACTGTAGTTATTGCATTTTCTACTAGCAACACTAAATAATACAAATGATAAAGAATTTTATAATTAGTGTACATTAGCACTTACTATGCGAGTAGCAAGTAATGATAAAGTAAAAAATATTGACTTCTTTATCATCAAAAAAATCTTGAAAAAAATTAACAGATTTTTGAATTTTAAGCGCCATATATTTTAGTAATAAAGTATATTTAAAATATTTCAATCACTTAGAAAAAAAAAACCGAAAACACAAAATTGTATTTTTCCAAAAGTTTAGTTTTTGTATTTATTGAATTTACCAGTAGTAAAGCACACTACGTGGTCTTAGAGTTGTGAATCAGCAAGATTTTGAACAAAATAACGTTTGTATACTTTTTTTTCCTCCCAGTCGATAAAAAATGTTAGTGCAAAACCTGAGATGACAGTTTTGAGTACTCACGATATTGAATTTTTACTATACACAGTCGCAAGTTGACGAAAAGTTAAACATTTTTTTTTTTTTAGTTTTTTAAGGATGCAGTAGAAAAAAAGTAAGAGATAGAAATGTTTTTCAGTTATGTATTTATAATTATTAATTATTCATTTCATCTGCGAGAAAATCATGCAGTTTTCATACTATTGTTGGAATGAATTACAAATTTACTTAGGAAGAACTACGTTTTAACGATGGCACGGCTGTGGAGAAAGTCACCGCTGCAGCAGAAAAAGCTCCGTCAAAGCAACATCTCTTTATTCGGAATTTTATTTCTGATATTGGAATATGAGTATAATAATTTTAATATACAGAATAAATATTTTATTATATTTGCATAGTAGTTATCGATTATCGAGCGCATATTAACGTTCGATTACGATGTTATAAGAACTAAATATAGCTACGTAAAAATAGAAAACAGTTTATACTCGATTAGAAAAATATTTTTATTAGAAACAATACGATTCTATGATAAGTGATTTATTTCTATGTTTTTTTTTTTTTAAATTTATTGTTTGAACCAAAAAGTATGAATTACATATTTAAAATTATATGCGCATACTAATGAAAACAGATACATATTGAGAGGTTTTCCTTAATTCAAGAGTCAAGTTCAATGAATACTACTGAATATTTTATTTATGAAGATATAAATTTTCATGTTTAAACTCATTAAATAAAAATATTTTTATATTGCTTGTTTTTTTTATGTAATATATAAATGTATTGAACTTTACTGATTTGACGGTTTCTTTAATAGTTTAATCGTAATAATGATACTATACCAATTACTTTGCTTTCTAACTTTTCGAGAATAAAGTTAACAGGACGATTTTCACACATTTAACGTTTTAGTTTTTTTATACGGTTGTTTATATGCAGGCAGGGTGCATGTTGCACTTCTCTGGTACACTGTCACATAGGCACATTAGATGTATTGCATAACATGAGTAAATAATATTTTATCTAATCCTGCAAAAACTTATTATATTTTGTTGTGTATGTGCGTGCGTATGTTAACTATGTAATGAATAATAATATTGTACTGTCGTGCCTGGAGTGTGAATTTTTTCCGTGTGTGTGTATGAGATTATAATGAATATACTTACGATTTTTTTAACTTTGTTAAACAATGTATTACGTACCGACGTAAAAAGGGTTTTGGACACGGTATTAGGTTAACTCATACGTGAAAAATGGACGGAGATATGATTCTATTCAAAATATATCAGTTTTAAATAATGTATCGTCCTGGCGACTTGGAGTGGTTGCTGATCGCGCGGGTGTCAAACTGAAACTAGCTGCCGTTGTCTAGTGTTCGACCGAGCACACCGAAAAACGCGACTCGACGGGCACGATAAAAATAACATTAATATATTCTAATATCGTTTTTAGGTACGTACTATCTATAACATATACTACACAGGTAGCAAATGGGCTGACGATAAAGCGGTGGGGTTGAGTGGGTATAGAGGTAGGGACCTCTACGCGCGCGGACAGATTTTCCGCCGATCGGTGGTCCGATTGGACGCGGTCGACCGCGAACACTGCCCCAGACAACCGCAACCACAACAAATGCCGACACGCGTGCGTCGTCGTATTCGCGAGCGTAGGTACAGCCATAAATGTATACACGTAAATGCGATGTGATCAATTTATAAATAAGTAGGCTACTAGATAATATCAAAGTCGAGTTTTATACAATTGAAAAATAGAAATTTTACATACAGTCTAGAGTATAACATTATACTATATTTTATACAGAATGAATCATTGTGCATGCTCATTTCTAAGTCTCGCTCTATCGTTGTAATTACTTTTAAGTTTGGCATTTATTGAAATTCTGAGTTTTGACTTTCTTAAGCGTAATAAAAAACCGTATTTTCAAATAATTATATTTCTTATACCATCTGTAATATAAAAGAAATGATCTTTAGATATTCTAAATCAGTTTTCCACATAGTTCATAATATTATAGATTTAATACCACGTTAGCAATACAATGTTTGAATTTCGAGTGGTATGTGTAAAAGTTTTTAAAAAAAATTACCTGATCAATAATAATACATAGTAAAAAAAAGGTGGTTATAATTTTAATAGAAAAAAAAAATTATTGCTACGTCTAAATATATTTATTAAATGGCGTAAAAAATTGAAGTATTTGAAAGTAAAATCTATCGTCAGGTAAAATACTTAAAATTTTTATATATATTATATGATAAATGAATAAAAACCGGATTAAGATGCTTTATAAATCAAATAACTTATTATAACGATTTTACTTTAAAAAAAAATCTAACTATATTTATAAAAGATAGTATTTTTTATATTTAATTAATATAACTTCTTGGATATCAAGTCAGTAGAAAAATACTTTCATGAAATTTTTACGTATTAAGTTATCGAAAATTGAGATAGTTTTTTTATATAGTTCAAGAAATTCAAGTTATATAACGAAAATACAACTTTTAATGAGTTTGTTTTTCTATATTTCTGGGCTGTAGAAGCTCAAATATTATTTGTTTTTAATATTTATCTGATATTTTAATAATATTATGAGTGTACAATTATTTTTAAAAATATATTATAATATTTTTTTGATTATTAAGTATTTCTTTTAATATATTATTTAAATGTGTGCGTTCGTAACTTGTCGTGTCATGCTTTGTGTATTCAATTCGCAGGTAACAAAAGATTGATAGCACGCTTACACTTATACGTCACATAAAAAATTGCATAGTGAATTTAACTTTATATAACATGATGACTTGCGAACGCAGCTTTAAACTAAAATAAATGGTGTCTAAATTAATATGCATAGTATTTTAAATTTTATCTACTTTGTAACTAAATAGTTTTAAAAATTAGTTTTTACTATTTTTATTTAAGTCTCGTAAGTTTAAATAAAATAATATACCTTATTTTGATATATATATTTTTTTTAAGAAGACACCAAAAAGTGTTGTATATTTATAAACATACTTCGTTAACCATTAACAAATGGAGACAACACTTGTAGATGTGGCGTGCTCTTTTAAGTAAATTTAAAGAGATCAATCTGGCCTGAGTATTATTGAGTTTATTTTATTTATACTCAAAAAATGTAAAATATATTTTTATAAATAGAATTGATTATATTAATGCTATGGAAATAATGTAAATGTATGTATAAAATTGGATAATAACTTATCGTTCTGATTACAACTTTAAAGTTTAAACTCTTACATGTTTCTCAACGAATACGTTATTAATTTTTTGATTTCTCTAGCTTTGTTAGTTGATGACAGAATAATATTCAACCTCCTCCATCTATATATTATTGAGAAATGACTTTTTTTCTTATTATTTGTGGTGAGTCGCAATGATAAAACTAATAACTCTTACAATCTTATGAATACTGAATTTAATTGAGGTGTAAAGAGTGCTCTGTTATGCTTGAACAATCAAATCTGATTGGTTCATTAACTGTCTTCGTTAGTGAGAAAATCCAACAGAAACTATGGCTTCAATTTTTGTTTATCTTGTTGATTGCGATTATATTAAACAACGTAGGTAAATTTTTTTAATTAATTATACTTATAGAATTTATTGTTATTTATATTATGTTATGTCAGTGGCAAAATTCTTAAAATGTTTTTACTGTTAACTGTATTTACTACATATTTGCTTATTAATAAAAATACTTTTCAATATTCTCAAAATTTAGAACTGCCTTTAAGTATTATATAATATAAATATAATGGCTTATAAAATAAATTAATTTCAATATAGTCTTACAATTTACCAATATATAATTTGTATTACTAATTATAGTTATTATAGTAATTATTATTATTTCAAAGCGGCTTTAACATTTTTTTTGAATAGTTCGTTTTACTGTAAGTTATAAGTTTCCGCAACATTGATATAATTTACCACAGAAGTTTTAAATGAATTAACAAATTCTTATTCAAGAAATATATTTTCGTTAAGGTTAGACAACGATGATAAGATGAGTAAGTTTGCTTCTTAAATTCACACGAATTCTATTGGATGCTATTATTTATTTTAATAATATCATAAAAGTATCTAGTTATAATGTTATCACACGAAATACGATTAAATAAATATTTCAAATGTTTTATTCTTACAGAATGATTTTTATGTATACGATAACTTTTTTTTTTAATTATTACGTTTGTTGTATACACTATTTTAAACAAATTTTTTCGTTGTAATAATTTTATAATAATCGAAACATTGTATATTTAATTAAGACCCGATTTCAATGAAAAAATGTTCAACATTTTCTATTATATATAATTGTAACGATGTCTTGCGAAATTAAGTTAGTTCAACGAACTAGCGCACGCAAATATTGTCATATAAATTGTTTGTATAGAAACGAGCTTTAACTAAGTTTCCTAATTGGGGATGAAGATAAATATTATGAATAATTTACTAACGTAATATTTGAGGTTAGTAATGTTACTCAATAAATTGTTACTAGATAGAAGTTGCAAGTTAATCTAAAATAATGTGTCTAAATTTAAATTAAAAGATAAAAATGTATCTAAATCAGAATAAAAAGTTACTTTTTTTATCATCAATTTATTCGTAATTAAATTATACAATAAATTACTTTTAAAAATTATTTAATTATTTGATCAAGTTTGGAAGTTACAATATTTTTTAGTTAAAAAAGTAATTTTATCACAATTAAAGTTACTTATTATTTTTAAAAATATCATTTAAGTTTAAAAATGATGTTGTTAATACATATTTATTTGTTTATATGAAATCAATGGACCAAGGCCCTTTAATAAAGAAAGAAAAACATTAGATACATATGAATTTACACAATATGAAAATTAATAGACAAGTGATAATTATACAAATAAAAATAACAAAAAATACGAAGAAAAAAATTTAGTTTATAAAACAACACTAAAAATAAATAATTAGGCACTAATATGTTTTAAAAACAACAAAATTTTAGTTTTAAATACTTAACGAGACAAAACGAAAAAATCCAAAACTTTGGAAATTCTATTGGTGTTAAAAATAGCTCTGGAAAAAAATTAATTTTTTCCACTATTTGTATTTAAATTAGGTATATGGAACAAATCAGAATTTTGTGTATACCTACTAAGGATTCTAAATCAAATTAAATTTAAAATAGCTGGACAGCTTATATTATTATTTAAAATATCATAGACAAACATTATATATCTATTAAATCACGCCTAATGTTAAGAGAGTGAATACCTATAGCAGGGGCGGCCAAACAGTCGATCGCAAACGATTTTAAAGTCGATCGTGCTAGAATTTATTTTTAGGCTGCGCTCACGAAAATTAATTATGGTGGTATAGTAACTTAATAATAATAAAAACTTTTTTATGAAAGTCGATCCTCAAAGGTGAAGTATATTTTTAGTAGATCGCGGCCGAAAAAAGTTTGACCGTCCCTGACCTATAGAGTCTTGAACCAAAAGGAAAGAATCTCTGGAAATCGCACAATGAGTAATAAAGGAAACTCTTTTCAGAAATTTATACTGAATATTATTTAGCTCATTTGAGTAAGTTAAATAATAATTAGATGAAATTAAAGAGCCAGCCAAATTCTAGGTTTGATCTAACTAAAAAAGTATACACATTTTTAAACATATAAGATTTCTAAAGTCCTTAGTATTTCTAGTAATAAATCCCAAAATTTTATATGCCTATTATTTATGATAATTTTATGATTTATTTTGAAAGACAGATCAAATTTAAAACAAATACCTAAATCTGTAATAGACGAACATATTTTAAAAGGATGGTTATATAAATTAGATACCTAATTATGAAAAACAGGACTTTTACTGCGTGAAAAAGTCATAATTTTACATTGATCATAGTTTAATGATAGATAATTTTTTTTACTCCATAACAGAAGTTTATTTAAATTAGATTGCAGCCGATTTTGGTCAACAAATTTTTTTGATTTTACAGTAAATTTTAATACCATCAACAAAAAAAACAAAAATTAAAATATTCACTGACTTATCTGGAATAAGAGGAAGATCGTTAATAAAAATAATAAAAAGAAGTGGTCTCAAATGAGATTATTGTGGAACTCCAAAGGCAACTAAATATTCATTGAAATAATGAAAAGAAGTTTTAATTATTTGAGATATATTACAAAGATAAGAAGATAACCAATTTAGAAAGTTTTCAACAAATCCAAAATGTTTTAACTTTAAAAATAATAAAGAATGATTAACTTTATCAAACGCCTTTTCAAAATGTATATACATTGCATCCACCTGATATCCTTGCTCAATACTATTGATAAGAACATTTTGATAAAATAATAAATTAGTATTCATAGAGTGTTTAGGTAAAAAATCAT